TATCGAAAACGCTCAATGAGCGAAAAGAACGCACATAACGCGTTATGGACAAAGCAAAATGACCAAACACCGAAATTAAATATTTTTTTCACTTCTAGCATCTGAGGACATGATTATTAACCTTTTTTCCACTTGTAAAATAGGCTTTCTCGACATTTGTTCAAAGTGGTTAATAATGTGGATATTATTAACTAGTAGTCAATAATGAGAACTGTCACGCTGTCACTTTTAGAAAACATAACCCGAAATTTCGCTCAATAAACGTTTAGACAAGTTCTCTAAAATGAATAATTACCACCATCCGCCATTTCTAGAGAAATTACATACCTAAAATTATCACATTTTGAACAAATTCGAACGAAATTACTCTTTGAAAATATCTCAATGACAGAACAAAATACGGCCTGTTTGACTTGTACTTCCACGTACTTGATTCACATGTTAAATTAATAAACAAAAAATTCTGTCCAACCGTTCACTTTCTTATCAATATAATATGTTAATTTAGAGGACTTCAAGTGCTAGTAGTGAAAAATAGTACATTATATATCAAGGTAGAGAAGTACAGTATTATTGCCTGAGCACCAAGATTACATCTCGAGGCGCTTGCGCCGAGGGGTGTAAGGTGCGAAGGTAATAATAGACTTCTGTACCGTGGTATATATACTATTTTTTTCACTACTAGCACGTGAAATCCTCGAAATTAACATATTATATTGATAAGAAAATGAACGGTTGGACAGAATTTTTTGTTTCTTAATTTAACATGTCAATCAAGTACGTAGAAGTACAAGTCAAACAGGCCGTATTTTGTTCTGTCATTGAGATTTTTCAAAGAGTAATTTCGTTCGAATTTTTTCAAAATGTGATAATTTTAGGTATGTAATTTCTCTGGAAATGGCGGATGGTGGCAATTATTCATTTTAGAGAACTTTTCCAAACGTTTATTGAGCGAAATTTCGGGTTGTGTTTTCTAAAAGTGACAGCGTGACAGTTCTCATTATTGACTACTAGTTAATAATGTCCACATTATTAACCACTTTGAACAAATGCCGACAAAGCCTACTTTACAAGTGGAAAAAAGGTTAATAATCATGTCATCAGACGCTAGTAGTGAAAAAAATAGTATATATACCACGGTAGAGAAGTCTATTATTGCCTTCGCACCTTACACCCCTCGGCGCAAGCGCCTCGAGATGTAATCTTGGTGCTCAGGCAATAATACTGTACTTCTCTACCTTGATATATAATGTACTATTTCCGTTATGCCCATAACGCGTTCTGGTGATTTTAGAAGCGCTCACAATGCGGATGGTTTCAATCCTGGTTTCAATCAACCGAACACCGGATTTTTTCAATTTTTACGTGCTTCCTTATTGTGATGTATCGCTAGTAATTCAGTTATTAGTTTGATTTCAAGTTAGTAATACTAAAAAATGGCATTGGCTAAGCATTAAGCAAGTAGGTACTATGCAGCTCCTGTACGAACAGATAATTTATACCATTTGGTTCAATATCTGCTTTAATCAAAAATTACTTGTTTTATTTATTTAAAGATACTTGTTGTAAAGGGCTCATGATTTTGTATTATTTAATTATTATCAAGTGACTAAAGGATGGTAAAAGTAATAAAAAGTGTGTCAATCATATTCTGAATAATAAAATCCTATCATCCCAATTCATATCGTTATTAAGTAAAGCAGATGCTTAAACTTTCTTGAAAACTATTTTCAACAATACTCAGAAAAAACTCGTGGTTGATCCATGCTCTAAATGGGGTGATGAACCATAAAGGAAATAAACGACTCAATTCCTCAAAACCTTCCCCATGGATATTTAATTGTTCACGAACAGATATAATTGTGAAATGTTACGACATGTTTCGATTGTTAATCATCTTCAGGTAACAAACTAAAATATTTAAAGTTAAACCGTTGACTAGATAGCTATTGAAAACACTTACTTATAAGTACGGTGTGTGAGAAAAATTACATTATTGAAAAGTTGTTGAAGCCTTGGCGATAAGTTTTGACGTCACATTGAAATATTATAAGTAAAATTACATTATTTAAATTAAATTTTTTGAGTTAATTTAATTTAATTTAAATAATAAGTAGGTCAATAGCTGGATTTCAGTAGCTGCCCTGGTCAGTCTGGTGAATTAACGTTTCACGAAGCCAGTTTATTAGAACCAATCAGAATATTGCAGTCGGTCCGGAACCATGGATCATCAGTGTCCTGTGAGGACATAAATGCGGTGTTTTACCAATTGCCAAGTGCCCTTCATAGAACTACACTAAATTAATGTTAAACGCACGTACATAGATACAAATCCATCATCTGCAAGTGATTAGTTTTGTGTTTATCGAGCCCAAATTACAACCTAGATCAGAGTGTTCATGTTACAATTTGTCTATTTCGTATCAAGAATGTCTTCAGATGTTAATTAAAAATTTGTTAATTAATTCTATCGACTGCTGCATTTCTCAGATTAATAAAATTTATGTCAATATCGACTTTTGTTGTGCCGGAGGCTGGACGTGCCCTAGAAAAATCTGTTAAATATTGAGCTAGCTAGCTGTTTTTTGGGTTGTTTAGTGAAGGTTTGCCATTAAACATAGCATTTATTTGGCGTTTAACGTGGGGCAAATCGAGAATGGAAACACAAAAACATTCACAACTGGGAGAGCGGAGAGGGGTTGCAACAAAACTTGCTGCACAGGTATGTAAGAAACTTCTAGAGCTTGTGCTACCTTAGGATTGGAGTATTTGAGTCTTCATGTATTCTCTCCAAAAATTTAGAATTAATATTGGAATCTTGAAGAGCTTTTCAAGACCCTTTCTCAGCTTTAAGGATCTCTAAGTGCATTTAAGAGTGTATAAAAACCTTCTAAAGGCCTTTTAAGTAGCCCTTAATTCGATCTTTGAGAGTCTTTGTGTGTTCGTAAACCAAATGTTACAGAAATTTAAAAAGTTTAGGGAGCTTTTTCATTAGTCAATTCCTGTAGTCCAAAAAAGTACAAAAAAAATTAGTTACCGGGTGAAACCGGGTTTTTCAGGCAGGTGAAATGAATAGAAATTGAGAAAAAATAATTAGAACAGCTGAATTTTTCCGCGGGTAAAATCCCGGGAGTTGAAAGGAGCGGAAAGTGGTGTTTTACAAATTGTGGCAAAACTATTAATTTTAGACGAAAATGTCAAATGTAAAAGTTATAGAGATTAAAAAAATGAGCAACCTTTGTATCTGCACAATTTTCACATAACCTCAAATTTTCCAAGAAAAACCGGCACAACTGTTTTTTCGTTTTTTATACCTATTTTTGCAAAAAAATGTCGTAGGGGTTTCAAATTTGGAGGAAACATAGCTTGTTTTATGATAAAAAGAAGATAATTTTTGGGGCCCATAAAGCAAATTTTTGGGAAGGCTGATATTTTAATAAACAAAAATAAAAAAATATTATTCCTATAGCAAAAATCGCCAAAAACTGGAAAAACAGTTTTAAGATATACACGGTTTTTGACATGATATATCAACATTATAGATGTTAATAAAGATTTTTTCGAAATCTGTCTTCTTGCTTCTCTTTAATGTTTGCTTAAATATTCTCTTTTGTTATCTTATGTTCAACTGTTTTAGTTAAAACATCTTTATTATTTTTTTTTCTGCATTTTACCGCAATAAAAGCATTTCGAAGTAAAATCGAATTCTTTTGCTTCCTGAACAATTTCTTTTTGTTCACTGACTCTGTTCCCTGCCTGTTTTATGCTGATGCACAAAACAGAAATAATAAAGATGCGTTAATTAAGGCAGTTGGGCACTATGAAACAAAAAAATATATTTTAGCAACATTAAAGAGGAGAGAGAAGACAGATTCCCAAAACTTTATATTAGCGCGGATCCAACACATTAATTTATTTGCAAAAAAGCCTATTTACCTACTGTCAAAAACGGTGTATCTTAAAACTGTTCCCCCCGTTTTTGCCGCTTTTCTTAAAATGTAAGTCGTTACGAAAATGTTACTACCCCGCGCACCTCTGTACGATGAAAAAAAATAGATTTTCATCCCCTTGAAAAAGAGGTGGTTTTTTCAGAAATCGTGAGATCTTGGAAACGGTTCAACTTTACAGGCCCAAAAAATTATCTTCTTTTTTATCATAAAACAAGCTATGTTTCCTCCAAATTTCAAACCCCTACATTTTTTTGCAAAAATAAAAATAAAAAACGAAAAAAACAGTTTTTCCGGTTTTTCTAGGAAAATTGGAAGTTATGTGAAAATAGTGCAGATACAAAAGCTGCTCATTTTTTTAATCTCTATAACTTTTACATTTAACATTTTCGTCTAAAATTAATAGTTTTGCCACAATTTGCAAATCACCACTTTCCACCCCTTTCAACCCCCGGGATTTCACCCGCGGAAAAATTCAGCTGTTTTAATTATTTTTTCCCAATTTCTATTCATTTCACCTGCCTGAAAACTCCGGTTTCGCCCGCTAACTATTTTTTTTAAAATAAATTATTTTAGAGCTATTTAGCCTGGACTACCTACTAAAAGTTTTTAAGGATCTTTACGAACTCTTAAGGGTTCGCTTACGATTTCAAATGGCGTCTAGATCCTTCTAAATGGTTTACTCTTAATGAATCTTTTAGTTTTTAAGGGCCTAGGACATATCATTAAAGCATTTAGCATTCATGGGTTTTTGAGAGCATTAAAAAAAGTATGTAAGAGTCACCAATAATTTTAATATCGGGTCTCAAAAAATTCAAAAACCTGCATGTCTGTAACTGGGACAAGAAGCAACTCACTAAAAATTGATTTCAATACCAAATCTTTAACAAATTTCTTCGCTTTGTTGACATCTAAATGTCAAAATTAAACTTCAAACAGAAAAGGAACTTGTCCTAATTCCAATGGAGTACCCAACTTTTTTTACGTTTATATCAATTTATTGGGTTCCCAATACAAAATGATTCGTATCAAATTAGGCGCTACGTCACTTACCGGAATCCATATCCGTTGCGCTAACGGTAACGACCGAAGTGGAGATGGGAACATCTTCAAAAATTTCGTTGCTGTAGGACATTGGATCAAAAACCGGCGAGTTATCGTTCAAGTCCAGCACGTTACAGTAAACCGTAAGCGTGCTGGACAAAGCCGGATGTCCCGAATCCTGCGCCTGGACCACGAGTATGTAATGTTGCACCTGTAACAAAAAAGGAGAAGGCGATTAAAAATAAAATCTTTACCATCTCCATTTGCGTCGTTGACAAATAAATTACACGATATAATTAATAAATAACTACAAATAGATTTGTAGCCCGCAGCTCGCATTTTATAACTCCGATGACCAAGTATGCTAGAAGAGGCAAAAGCAAAAAAAAACCTGAATAAAATACAAAGTACACCTTGAGGACGTAAAGTAACCAGTTTAATGATAGACGTATGGGTACTCATGGCGTGTTAGTTTTATTAGAAAAACATGCGGTAATATGAACTTAATAGAAGGGTGAATGTGAGGAACAAACCAGATACCGCAGCGTACTTAACGCTTAGAAACTCGCGAGTGACAGTACTGAAAAACTTGTCAACGAATCAATCTATATTCCATAAATATTATGAGAATGCACCGAGTTAAATGTTCTTGAAAATTTATTCGCCTTTAACGGCTCACATTCCGACATTCTTCCCCATACCGAAGCGATCAATATCCAATTTTGTGGACAGTTTCAGTGTTGCGCGATAATAAAGCTGATGTATTCACAACGTAATTATATGTAAAACGCTAATCGACAAAAACCACCATTATCCCATAAATCACGCAGAATGGGAGAATGTAGTGAAAACTGATTGGATTCCATACGGACGAGTATAGAGAGTTAATGGAGGCATGGGTTTTGCCTCTTTTATGTCAGAACTACTTCTTCGAAGTAATTTCTGGTCGAATTGCATCGTAATTTCTCTGATAATGTTCGCATCTGGGAGCCATTTTTCTCAGTACAAGTATGGAAGTAGAAAAATACCACAATTACAGTAAAGCGCAACTGTCGCAGGTGACATCAGAAAACGAAATTGGATTATTTCTTCCCCTACTAAAGCGTTCCTGGTGTCATCCGTTCCATCAACTCCTCCATACAGTGTTATACATAATTTACATTGTCTAGGTCTAGGTAAATGTTACAAATCGTCATCTTTTTCTTTGTGATTAGTTATGTTTTCGTGGTTAGGTGGAAGATCAGCAAGTGGAGCTGTCTCCCAATACTGAACCTCGCCACTATATTTCTTTACCTTAGTTAAAATTTTTATTTTACATTTACAGCTTATTTCAATTTATATATTTATGCAAAGTAATGAAATAAAGGCATTTGTAATTATTATTATTGTTTGGCAGTCATTGACCAAAAATTGAACATTAGCTTGGGGGAGAAAAGTGGTGAATTTTTGTATCTCGTTCTCTCGTCGTTCAATTCCTGGGAATGAATATACCTACTATAACACTTTCTCATTGCCACTATTTGAGCTCTACAAGACAGTCCTGATAGATCTTCAATACAACGTTTCGTTTCGGGGAAATCATCATCAACTTTATTTTTGTATACCGTAAAAAAGTACATACTGTATCGAGTAACATTTTTCTTACAACAACGATGTACGGCATACAAAACGAAAATTGGAAAGTGTTGGCTCCAACAGGATGGTGCACCCGCGCACAACGCCTTAACCGTCCGAGAATGCCTACCTATTGAACCAATTTCATGGAAAATGAAAAATTTCTCCTATAGGTATTTTCGTACGATGTGAACGTTGTGTGCGGGTGCACCATCCTGATGAAACAAACACTTTTGTTTTTGTTTTCTGTGTGCCGATCATCGCCACCTCTTAAACGAAGAACAGGAAATAAGCAATAGTCTTGCTAACAAGAAATGAAACGCATAGCTACTTAAACACTAGGTATATAAAAGTGAGCATTGGAATCTTTTGTGACCTTGGTTCGAGTAGTGGAGGGAATTTCCTAAATGTGATAAAAGTTAGAAATAACAAGTAAGTCTTGCACTCAGATAAGGTATACTGACAGATCTCGAAAAGGTGCAATCTAATAAGTATAATAAGCTGTGTGATAGGTCTCACATTTACTTAAAGGGGTGGCTTAAGGGAATGGTTACCAAGGTCAATAGTAGACGATCCCTGTAGGTTGTATTTGCAATAGTTGGGTCTTTTTTTATGGAAATGTACGTTTTGAAGCACCAGAAATCCGAATCAAACATATAACCGAAAAACAAAAATTTTCAAATTTTGTTTTCATTTTCCCTAGCTTAAACTGTAGCAAATTGACGGTACCCGTTGCCACCTTCTATGATCACTTTTTTGGGAGAATCTGAATCTGTTATCCGCATTTCCATAACATACTAGATATAGAAGCTACAGGGTACTACTTTAAAAGTAGTACTTTCTTTTTTCTTATGGTCGCCATATTGGATAATTACGGAATGAGATAGAGAATAAAAAAGAAAAATAATGACGTACCACACTTTATACTTTTACATACTTTTACAACAAAAATCAAATGTTTTGCATTCATTTCTCAACAATGGTATCTAGATCTTGTTGAATCAACATGGCTATGATGGTGATGCATTCAAATGAATTTTTTTTGTTCTATATCTTATTATGGCGCCCATGAGAACTAAGAAAATACCTACCATCTAGCGTGTTATGGAAATTCTGATAACAGATTCAGATCCTCCGAAAAAAAGTGCCCAAGAAGGTGCTAACGGAACCCGTCAATTTCCGTCTGTTTAAGCTAGGGATAATGGAAACGAAATTTCACATTTTCCATTTTTCGGTGATACCTCAACTATTTTCAAAGATTTTTCAAAAATTCCAAAAACGTTTTTTTAGTAGATATCAAAAAGGGTCAATTTTTCCCTTCTTACACCATAAAGGAAATACAATCCTCTATGCTAACACTGTACAAGAAAGGGACAATAAATAAATAAATAACTAATAACAGTTACCAAAGAGCTTTCTTAGGCGGCACTGAAATGTAATTCAGTTGGATAAATTTCCTCGGAATGATGATTGCGTTATTATAATAACTTCTTAGCCTCAAAAATGCCAACTAGAGACCGCATAAGGAAAAAAATGCCAACTCCCGCATAAGGTGAGGGGGGAGATTCCCCCTCTCACCCCATTTGGCTACGGTCCTGGTCTGACCCTTCCGAACTGTAATTTTCAAATAATTTTTTCGCTATTCACAAAATATAAAATTTTCAAGAATGCTTGTAACTGAATTTTGGTGTTCACAGTTCACCTAGAGTCTATGCGCTAGTTGTAAAGCATTATGGTTACTTTGGATGTATAACTCCACTTAAATTATGGCAATTTTAATTGCTTCCAGGTATATAGAGGTGACGGACAGGAGGCCCAACTGCAAACTGAGTCGATTATTACCTGGGAAATTTTCAGCTAACATATTTTCAATTTTATACGACTTTCGCTTTTACCGGAAGTATTTTAACTTCAATTTTTTAAACCTACGCGAAGTGTGGACTACATTTGATACATTTTTTCGAAATTTTTGGAAATGATACTCCTTCAGTAAATCAATTGCCTTTTATAAAGCAAACATAAAACCTCGCATAAAACAAACTCATTATTATCTGGATTTACTTAAATAAGGAATTGGTGGCGCTATTATGGCCATTTTATCCGTCCTTCAGTCCGAGGCCTTATCTACTCCTACAGTTTTGAAGATATTCGTTCGTTTTGCATTCGAATTCATGGAAAATGTGCTAAAGTTAGTCGCCTTTTTTATTTTTAATGAAGACCCCCACAGCCATTGGGTTGTATGGTCTGTATATACATTATACAGAGTGGCCCAACGAGAAGTATACAGAGGGCTTTTAGGGTATTAAATTTAGACATTTCGAAAAATCCTCGAACACGTCAATTTTGTATTCGAGGGGGACAACCCAAGTCTTCACCCCTCTACGTAGGGAACTTAACCCCTAAAATTTTAAATGGAATCCTATGGCAAATGGCACATTATTTGAAAGCCAATTTAATCGTGATTACTAATCTGCTTTGCTTTTTAAATTCTATTGATTCGTTTCGGAGATATTCGCATTTGAAATGTTTTTTCCCCTGATTTAAGTCCTTTAGATTACTTCTTGTGGGGATATTTAAAGAATAAAGTTTATGCTACTCCGCCCGGAACATTACAAGGGTTGCGAGCACGTATAACCATAGTGTAAGAATAGAATACACTATGGTATAACTCAACAATTTCGAGCGATTACCTCTGAAATCTTGCAACATGTACGGCAGCGTTTTGAAGCAAATCTTTATTATTGCATGGAAGCAGGCGGAAGGCAATTCGAGCATTTATTGAAATAAATGTTGTCTGTTTAAAGTTATTTGTTATTTTTTGCACAATTTAAACCTTTTTTAATACAAGGGGACTTAGATCGCATTTGTTTTTGTTTTTTTTGGAAAAAACCATTTCAAATGCGAATATCTCCGAAACGAATCAATAGAATTTAAAAAGCAAAGCAGATTAGTAATCACGATTAAATTGGCTTTCAAATAACGTGCCATTTGCCATAAGATTCCATTTAAAATTTTAGGGGTTAAGCTCCCTACGTAGAGGGGTGAAGACTTGGGTTCGTGATTTGTATTCCAAAAGTTGTCCCCCCCCGAATACAAAATTGACGTATTCGAGGATTTTTCGAAATTTCTAAATTTAATACCCTAAAAGCCCTCTGTATACTTCTGGTTGGGCCATTCTGTACATATTTCTATTATAGGTACATCAATTCCATGACAACTAGGATAGTATTTGTTTCTTGAAAGTTCTGTTAAATCCAAGACAAGTAATAATTAAAAATACTACAATAGCTGTACAGATTTTCCATTTACTCCCTTATACAAAAAAAGTTCATTTAAACTACCCTTATTTTTCAGAGTGGACCACTTCGTAAACATTGCTAGTGAATTTTTACAATTAAGGCAAGCGCTACTTTAAATCATGTATTTGTGTTGCTGATATGATATATTTGAATGTGCGCAGTACCCAGTACCACAAAAATAGAAGAGAAAGAGAAAGCGTTCGGAACGTATATCTATCTACCTTTACACTTGACTTTTGTTGAATTTTTTTGAAATTTGACGCTATTTTGGACACCATTTCGAATAAATCACTTCGGG